CTGGTGAACATATTCAACCATTTATTTGCAACAGAGACAGATGAAACAAAACCAGCTAGGCAGGATGAAGGCTCAGTGGTTAGCACTGTAGCCAGACAGCATGAGGGCCTGGTTTGTCCTGCCATTGAGATACATATATTAATACTTCTTATCTCATTCTAGGACACTGTTGCAAAGGAGATTTTTCATCACAAAAGTTTCACTACCTGGTTTAAAAAAGGATAAAAAAAAAAGAAGACATTTTCCTCTGTAGAGGGTAAAAACTAAAACAGAGGTTAAAGATTCACAATAAACACCCCCCAAGCAGCACATGGCTGCCCCTCCCTGAGCCTGGATAGGCCAGAAGTTTCTTCCTGTTTAAAGAGAGTTTTCCTTCCCACTGTCACCAAGTGATTGCTCTAATTTATTGAATGGCTTTCTCTTGTAGGGTCTTTATCTTACAATATACAGTGCTTTGGGGTGACTGCTGTTGGGATTTGGTGCTATATAAATCAAACTGAATTGAAATACAAGTTTAAACGTTTCCGTGTGCCTGCTGAATGCCTAAATATCTATTTGTTTGCTTCACCTCTCTTGACTAAGGTGACTATGTGCCAATTTTGTGTTTTCAGCTTGTGTTGCCGCCCCAGAGTATTGAAAACAACATTATTCCGGTTTTAATATCGTCATCACACTTCACTGCTCTACCTTCTATTTTCCCTCACCCCTCGTAATATCTATTGAGAAATTGCCTTTAGCTTATCCTCCTTAACTTCATGTGGAAAATATGTGAAGCTGAGAGCTAGGCTGCTCCGCTAAGCCAACAAAGAGGCAAATAAGACTCAGACAAATGTAAAGTTATGGTCAATACATATCTGAAGGGCTCTTCAGATGGACTAAAAGTGTGCCCGACTCCAAGTTCAATAGTTGACATTCAGCACACGCCAGGAAATCCTGCTACATTTTAGGAGCTGTTTCATTTATCTCTTGTACCAGCAATTACTTTAACTTTCCAAACCTGCGACAAATTCAATCTCAATTTTCCCTCTCCAGCAATAACACGTTTTTAAGCACTGTACAATTTGCAGTAAGACCACAAACATGAATGTTCATTATATTCTCAGCCCATCGCGCTTTTTTATTTCCTTGCTAATATGAATCCTCTGCCTTTGAATGCTGTGTGAATTTTGCAGGTGCTGAATTTTGCAAGTGCATCTCACCCAGTCTTTGCTCAGCCTTCTAGTGAACAGGTGAGACGAGGCAGGAAGCCAC